TGATAGATATATAGACGGAGACATATATAATACTGTATATATTTGTATTTTAATATCATTTTTTTACTCTTGTGAAATAAGATTTCAATAGTTATCCTGATTGTTACATTGTTACAGTTCTGCATGTACGCACTTCACGTCCACTGTTATGTTCTTTCCGGAGTCTCCTATCCCTTAGCAATTCATTATTGTTTAGTATTTTGAAGTCTTGTTCGAAAAATCTGAAATCTAGTTGTCATTAGTTACTGCATCTTCCAATGTGTTTTACTGCTGTGTGTTTGCCTTGTGGGGTGTTTACAGATGGATATCTCTGCAGTATTGTGATCCTCATCCTAGCAGTTTAAATGGGCGTACACACACACACACACACACACACACACACACACACTCTCACACACTCAGGACTTCTGAATATTGTACTTTTATGTTCTGATTATTGGCACCTTAAAGCAGATATAAACTCAAAAGGTCATTTGTTAATGGAATACTAGAAAAAAAAAATCACCTCTTCTGAAATAAAGTCAGTTCCGCCATTTCTGATGCGCAGTCATGTGACTGACCCTAAGGTGTTAGTGATGTGGTCCTTGGCAGGGGATCTCGGAGGACGTTTTGGCACAACTAGCCACTCGGTGGCTTTGCCTGAAAATTCCCCATAATCCTGAGTATTGGCAGATACCACATGGCCCTTGCCACAGGTCATGTGATTGGGTACTGCAAATCTGACTGCACCAGGAAGAGTCAGTTTCTCAGCACAGCCCTCTCCCTCCTTGTAAGTCATAGCCCTTCCATCTTCTGCGGGTGCGTAACTGCTGTCTGTACTGACACAGCTCCTCACTTCCCTTCCCTCACTTCCCTACATAACCTTTTATTATTATATTTATATTATACAGGATTTATATAACGCCAACAATTTGCGCAGCGCTTTACAACATGGAGGAGACAGTACAGTTACAATACAATTTACAATACAGTTTAAGTACAATAGGGTTAGGAAGGCCCTGCTCGCGAGAGCTTACAATCTAGTAGCTTTATGTAACAGCCTGGGGAAGAGGGAAGAAGAATCTGCTGGGGCGGCTGAAATCGCATCCAAGATGGCGGCACCGAGCAGAAGCCTCAGCGCTTTTGGATGTCGCCACAAGGGATGATTTTACAGCTAAATAAATGCACATATAATATAATGGGAAGATTGTTGAAATAAATGGTCTGGTGACAGGGTCTCTTTAAGAGGTTAAGACGAAGCAACACGTTGCAAATGATTTGTTTAAAAAATAACTGGTGCCTGTGATGGTTGGACGTTGTTCTCACCCAATCGTTGCAAGGCTTGCTCTGTAGCATTGTTTACACCGCTTGTATTTCCACTCTCGTGTGATGATGAAACTCCATCCGAGTATTGAATCTCCTGCTGTGGGATCAGCAACTCAGCGTCTTCGCTTTCCATTCCAAGAGTGTGTTTGTGTTTGTTTGGTGTCGGTAGGAGATAAGCAGTGTTCACAATACTCTAGTAGGTGTCCGAGTCTTATGAACTGCAATTAAACATTTGCAGGTCTGTTGTAGGTGCCCCAACAGAGGCGAAGGCCGATATGTGGAAATATAAGACCGGAGTCTCCAGACTTATCAAGGATGATTCAGATGAAAGATCATTGTACAAGCTAAAAAAAAAAAAGTCTGCTAGAAATCAGTTAAATCTGAATTCCGGGCACAAAAACTTGTATTAGAATATATGTAGTAGTGACATCATCACTGAGCTATACATAGCTTGTGTAGAGAGCAGAACTGTCGGAGGGACCCAGGAGACCCCCCACCCACTACAGGCTGCCTACAGATAACTGCAAGAGGGGGCGGAGACCAGACTAGTCACCCTGCACAAGGAGAGAGAGCGCAGCAGTGACCGGTTTTTATTATAGGGGGGGGGGGGGGACAAGACCAGTCACTCTGCACAAGGAGAGAGAGCACCAGTGAGCGGTCTTTATTACAGGAGTGGGAGGAGGGGGCGGAGACAAGACCAGTCACTCTGCACAAGGAGAGAGAGCAGCAGTGAACAGTCTTTATTACAGGATGGGGCGGAAGCAAGACCAGTCACCCTGTACAAGGGGAGAGAGCACCAGTGAGCTGTCTTTATTACAGGAGGGGGCGGAGACAAGACCAGTCACTCTGCACAAGCAGAGAGAGCAGCTGTGACCGGGCTTTATTATAGGAGGGGGCGGAGACAAGACCAGTCACCTTGCACAAGTAGAGAGAGCAGCTGTGACCGGTCTTTATTTTAGGAGGGGGCGGAGACAAGACCAGTCACTCTGCACAAGCAGAGAGAGCAGCTGTGACCGGTTTTTATTATAGGGGGGGGGCAGAGACAAGACCAGTCACTCTGCACAAGTAGAGAGCAGCTGTGAGCGGTCTTTTTTACAGGAGGGGGCGGAGACATGACCAGTCACCCTGCACAAGGAGAGAGCAGCAGTGAGCGGTCTTTATTACAGGAGGTCTCACACTGGATTACTGCACAGATCTGTAAAAAATACACAAAGCTCACCAAGATTCAAGATACAGGAAATACTGAAGGAAATAAACGAATGTAAACTATGGGTCATTACTATTCAGAGCTTACACGTGGCTAAGGACTCCCTGCTGCACCCCCACATGAGGGCGCTACTACCAGAGCAGTCAAGTATCGGTGCGGTCGTAGGAGGAAGGGGAAGGAGTCACTTGATCCCTTTTAGCCAGAAAGCTTAGGACTCTCTCCCCGCCGCCATGTGATAGTTCTAGTGGCTGAGCAGTCATTCGCCAATTGACTCATCAGAACAGTGTGACCCCGAACGTAGA